AGCAAGCTGGATTCAAAAGGTGAGTTACGTGATCGTCACATAGGACTTAAAACTTGGGGAGTGCTAGTACAATGTGCTCGAAAAGGTCTTAACATCAACCTTCTACCTCTATAGGAAATGAGAAATATGAAGGGTCTTCAGAAAATTTGTGGGGAAAATTCCATTATCTTTTCATTCTATTTTTCCAGGAACTTTTTGAAGCTTCCTCATAGTGCAAATTAACCTAGCATCAACTGGCTAACAGGAAGAAAACACAATGAAATACTGTGCAACTTCACCTCCTTCTTTTACTTTTCTATGCATACTCACACAAGCACAGAATCTTATGATTTGATTGATCAGCAACACAGGTATAACAACTTATATTTCTCAAGCAATTAACAAGTACCAGGTACTAGATATGTATTTTTGTAGGAATTGCTTCACATAATCCTCTGAATAGCATGATGAGGAAGATTTCATTAACATCTTCATTTTATAGATGAGAAAATGGGGATTAATTTAATTGCCCAGAATCGGAAGAGAGCATATGGCAAAACCTGTTGGTCAGGTCAGACTTCTGTATCTACATTTTCAAACACTGTTGTATTTACCACCCCTTAAGTGTAACCTTAAACACATATCTCAAAGTGTGTTCTGCAGAACATTTACTCTTGAAGATGTTTGAGAAAAAAAACTGAAGTCATCAAGTAAACTTAAGAAATAAATTAAACTATGCTCTCGGATAATTCAAAATGTTCTTTAACATTGGAAAGATTCTGAGAGATTTTGCAATAAAGAATGCTTTAAAAATTATTTGACCATCAAATTCTTTTCCTATGAAAATACCTCTCAGCAGTTCTAGGAGATAGGGAAAGTGTGTTCTGCTCTAACTGATTTTACTTTGGAACACTGCATAGATCTCTGCCTTTCACACAGTAATAGATATTGTGTCCAAGGAAACATACTTCTACTACCATGGGTCCCCTGTGGTGTGGCACTGGAATAGTGTGCCGTACAGATTCCTTTCATTGATTTTGGTAATTTAATGGAGGCATTTTATGTCCTAGTTACCTATACCTTCTATAGCCAACAGTCTGAATAGCTAGCTTCCACTTCCAAATCCATTTATACATGCAAAACTGAGAAAATATGGTTTTGCTACCTACCCCCACCCCCCCAAAAAAATAAAATCAACACTGCTAAGCGTAAAAAGAACCTACAGCATCAACACAGTTCTAAGACAAAACACCATACAAATGGTCATAATGCTAATGAATAATCAATTTCCAATGAGTATGTGGATGCTTTAGGAATATTTGCCTTTATAACGGAACATCAACCAAAAGCCAGTATGTGGAGAAAGGCAGTTATTTCCTACTAAACTCTACCCTATACTCTACTGAGTTTACTTTGGAACGCTGCGTAGTTCTCTGCCTTTCACACTTAAGTTTAAATCTTTCATGATCTAAGAATTACGTGTTTACTTAAAAATAGCATTTGTTATGTAAGACCTTATGAATGATTCTTTTGGCATATCTATCAGATTAATTCCACCTTCCTACATTTGTACCCCAGTCAAATTTTGCCGATATGTTAATTTGACACTTACATTAATTCACATAACAAAAAATTATTTCAAAACCTGGTTCAAAGTCAGTCAGACTTACATATTTCCACTTGCCAAACATGAGATTCTGAGGTATGTCAAGTCGACAAGGTATGATAATGTTATCTCCATATGCTGAATTTACTGTATACGATCCAAGGCCTTTAGAAAAATGGAAAAAAGAGGGAGAAAACATCTTCAGTGTAACAAAACAATCTGCATTTTTTATTTGAAAATATTATCAAAAAGATGTTCAGGAAAATTTGAAACATTATTAAAATCTGAGAACACAATAAAACCATAACTGAGTTTTATTTATGAAGAAAAATGAGCATGACAAGTATTACTTTATAGGAGTATGGGTTCAAATTGCAGTTTTAAATATTTTTCATAAGACAATAACATGAAAAGCATTTCGAATATGAAATTCTTCACAAAGTATTATTCATGAAATGATTCCCCATTTTTTTAAAGACAAATAAACCTAAATCACAATTTGCAACCATGATATAGAGCATTTCTTGACCTTATCTAACATTTTACTGAAGAAAATTTAAACCAACAATTCCATTGCAGGACCAAAAAGTTCTTAACTTAGTATGTACTATGTAGTTTGTTGTTGTTTCTAAGTGCTGTCAAATCAGTTCCAACTCATAGCAGCCCTGCGTAGGGTTTGCAAGGAGTGGTTGGTGGGTTTGAACCGCCAACTTTGTGATTAGCAGTCCAGAGCTTATCCTACAGTGCCACACCATACCAATTTAGGTATTTAACTTGGTAACAGTACTTTAGCTTATACTTTATTTTGTTTAAAATCATCTGTAGCATTTAATACTATTAAAATTAAATATCTCGTGGTGGTGGTGGTTATGTGTCGTGGAGTTGGTTCCGACTCATAAGAGAGGGTACCCTGTACAAAGTTTCCGAGAATGTAAATCATTATAGGAGCAGAAAGCCTCATCTTTCTCCGGCGGAACAGCTTGAAATTTCGAACTGCTGACCTTAAGGTTCGCAGCCCGATTCTTTAAGAACCAATTTATTTCAAACTGTAGACAAAAATAAATAAATGATATTTTGTCCAGCAGGTGGTGCTAAAGTGCAAAGGTAAGGCAACATTCAGCCATAAATAAGACCGTGTAAATTACTTTCTAAAGATACAGGGCAGTATGGGCACCATCTTTCACTGTTATGTATCAATCACAACATGCACAAAATATTTTACAGAAGATAAAAAATTAATAATCTTAAGAATGATTAAAGAGAGATACTACAATCCTATTTTTAAATCCTGTCGGCTGCATAATTTAAGCAATTATGCCTTAGTTAACAGAGACATCACAAATTAAAATAAATATGTAGCATAATAATTAGGGTTTTCAGCATTTGTAAAATTAGTAAAATTTAGCATACAAAGAATGTTCTTGTCATTTAGATTTGCAAAAAAGATTTACTAAAATTGCTTTTTGTGTGCTAAGTGATATAATGAAAACTGAGATTAAAAACATTAGTATTTTGTGTCTCGTACTGTAACTTCAATCTCTTTTCATTTCAATCCTCCAAAAAGCATAAGACTGTAAATGAAGGACTGGCTTGTTCAGTGTTGTTATTTTTGTTAAGTACCATTCAGTCAACTTTGACGCATAGAGACCCTGTACAGGGTTTCGGAGAAGCTGTTGGTGAGTTTGAACCACCAACCTTGTGATTCAAATGACCTTGTGGTCCAGTGTACTATTAAACCACAGATTAGATATGTTGAGAAGATGCCTTGTTCCAAAATCCAATACTTGCTTCCTTCAATACACTGACTCTTAAATGTGGAATCCCTACCACATGTTTGCAGACCTATTCAATGTACTATACAGGAACAGTTCTGCCAAGCCAAGAAAATGTTTCATAATTTAATCCTTTGATTTTTATCGGTTTACAGCATGACACTTGTCAGTAAATGAATCTAAGATGGTCTGGACGGGAAATACATATCTATTTGTCTGTCACCTTTATACAAACACACCTTCCTTTGATAACTAAGAGTCCTTTTATGATTAGGCAAGAAGTGAAAACAGCTTACACAGCAGTTAACCAATGAGATGAATCTTTTGCCAGATACAGGGAAATCAGAAGAAAAAGAAAAAAACCCCAACTTTTTCAAAGAATTTAATGCTTTTCTCTTTATCATCACTTATTTTTTCTTTTCTCTTCCATAGAGCTTGCATGTGGTAGATGTACACGGCATTTTATAAAAAGTTTTAAAGCTGGATTCATTTTAGGCATGATGAAAGCATAATTACCATAAGGAAGAGGCCATACATTTTTAATCTTTCTGTTTCTAGGATTAGTGCCTGACATTTAATGATCACTTAATAAAATGATTTCTAATTTGAATGCTGGGGAATCTTTTCCATGTTGGCATCAAACTGACATCACTGAAAATCAGGGAGCAGTTGGTAACACTGGAACTTAGAAAAGTGCCCTAGAGGATTCACAAGACTACAATCTTTATAAAAGAAACTGTCCATCTTTCTCCCCTGGAGCAGCTGATGAGTTCAAATCACTGTCCTGTAGGTTAGCAGCTGAATGCTTTAACTACTATTCCACCACAACTCCTTTACCATATACTCTGCAAACTGCTATATACTTTCTTGGATGTACAAGTAATTTGAAGTTTGGGTTTGTTTACTACTCTCTATTTTGATTTGAAACAAACAATATGCAAACACATTATCTAATGGTTCATGGGCGGAACTATAGCACAAGCAAAGTTAAGCATCATATGTTCCCTTTACAAATGATCATCTAAATGTCTTTCATAATGATTAAAACAAAGCAAAGATCTTTGTTCTTTTTGTTTTGTTTTAAAGTATTTGAAGATTTGTGGATAACAACTTGCCATCCAGAATCAGCCAAGATAATATAGATGTTGTTGTTGTTGTTAAGTGCCGTCGAGTCGGTTCCGACCCATAGCGACCCTGTACAGGGTTTC